ACGCTCTGTCCACTGAGCCAAACCGGTTTCGGCAGGTCTTCGTTTATTAAACACCTAAAAAGTTCTCCTGTGTCCTGATCCGACCTGGTTCAGAAGCGAATTGAATTCCTAGAGCCCGCCTCATAGTTTGCCTTTTTTTACAGACGGAAGGCCGGATGAGGGGGCCCGGGGTGGGGGCTCCAGGAAGAACCAGCAAGAGACAGTCCAACGAGACGTACCGAGACGCTGTGCGAAGAGTCATGTTTGCTCGATACAAAGAACTCGATTGAAGGACGGAGCAGTCCCCTTGGACACAGCCTCCTGTTGTGTGTGTCAGTCTCTCCTTTTGTTTTGTTACTGTTCTTGCTGCTAGGACTTTTTTAAATAAACTTTTTTTCAATGTGATTTTGGGTTGTTACATTTATCCCCTGTGGGGTGGTCGGAGTTGGCACCAATGTGGGCCCATTTGAGACGCTGCTGAATGGAGAATGCTGCCCCAGCCCTGGAGCACTGCCTCTGCCAGGATGACTGACCTTGAACCCTAGCCTGTGTGAATGGACTAAGAATTACTTTTTCTAATTTAATTAACGAATCTAGCATCTCATTATCGTTCGTTTCTTTTCTTTTTTTAAAAATATATTTTTATTGATTTTGTACAGAGAGGAAGGGAGAGAGAGTTAGAAACATCGATGAGAGAGTCATCGATCAGCTGCCTCTTGCACACCCCCTACTAGGGATATGCCCGCAACCGAGGTACATGCCCCGGACTGGAATCGAACCCGGCACCCTTCAGTCCCCAAGCCGACGCTCTATCCACTGAGCCAAACCGGTCCCGGCTCATTATCATTCGTTTCTATTTCTTGGCTAACTGCTGGTGCTGAACTATTCTCATGTATTGGTTTATTACTCTAACAACCCTTCAGAGTCCTCTTCTGACTTTCCCTTCTTGGGGGATGGGCAGGTGTGGCACCTCTCTGAGTGCCTGCTGGGTACTCAGTGCTTCACACGTGTGATCACAAGTCAGCACAGTAAGAAGCACACGCCTCTCCAGCCATTGCCTGCTTTTCCTCCCCCCACGGCCACCCTCTCAAAGAGGTGTCTGCCCCTTTCAAATCCTCCTCCAATTCCCCAGTCATTCACCAGCTCACAGGGGGGAGTTTTTCATTCTTTGCCATTGGAGGACTATATCCTATGAACCTATTAAGACTTTTAAAGATAATTCCTCAAGATAACATACGTAGTACTAAGAATTGTACTTTCCAGATGTGACAGAAGAATATTTTCCTCCCTGAGAAATATAGGGGCCTGGGTGTTCAGAAGGGCATCTCGGTGACATGCTGCAGGAGGGTGTGAACTCTCCCTAAAGAGACAGAGTCTGTATTTAGGCTCAGCCCTGTGTATTGAGAAAGTAGCCATAGACAATAACACCTAAACAAGTGGTAGTGACTGTTGCAATAAAACTTTATTTACAAAAACATGTTGCAGGCCAAAATTGGCCCAAAGGTGGTTTGCCAGCCCCTGTTCTAAGGGCACATCTAGCATAAGGCAAGACCAAGAAGAGCTGCAAAGAGATGGGGTGAGGCTGGCATTTTGGAGGGATGGGAGATGGAAAGAGGACATACACCAAGGAGAAAACGTTTCCAGCAACCACAATGTGAACTTAAATTGTTTGCATGCTGTGTCCAGATATTCCTTCCTCTTAATCTTGAATAAGTCCTTTTATCCCTTAAAAAGGGAAAACAGCCCTAACTGGATGTAGAATAAGCCATAATAAGAACATGTTTAGCCCGGCTGGTGTGGCCCTGTGGTTGAGTGTCACCCCATGCACCAAAAGATGGTTGGTTAGAGTCCAAGTCAGGGCAAATCCCTGGTGGTGGGCTCGATCCTCAGTAGGAGGTATGCAGGAGGCAGCTGATAGAAGTTTCTATCTCCCTTCTCCCTCTCCCTTCATCTCTTTCTCTCAAAATCAATAAAACATTTTCTAAGAACATGTTTAAAGATGCTTTTCTAGGAAAAATATTTTTTAGTGTATTTGAAGGTTCTGGTTTGGAATCTCACTGACATTCTTCCACTTAGTTATCTAGAAGAGAGTGGTATGGGTGCCGTTTTCCATAACTAAACATACCTTTCTCTGCCTTGTCATGGTCTATTTTTCGGTTTGTATAAGTGGCCTGAAAACTCAGTTCCACTAAAAATACATTTATTAATATTGGGAAGTTATGCTAACTGGATGCACAGAGATCACCACCTCACTGGCAGGAGACCAAAGCATCTCTGAATCATCCCAGGATGTATGCTCTCTGCCTCTAACGTTATACCTTTGATCATGGATTCATCTCTTGTTCAGCAAATCTTTACTGAGGGCATACTGTGTGCTGGGCACCAGAAGAGGGACCAGAGATAGAGTGGTGAATTAAGCAGACAAAAGTCCCTGCCTCCCTGGAGTTTACATTCTAGTGGCTGAGGACGTGGACTCTGAAATCAAGCCTTCTAGTTCATGTCTCAGTTCCAACACATTTCTGTGTGACCTCCCCTCTCCGTAAAATAAGGACAGTAATGGTGGCTTTGGCTAGGTGAACAGCAGTTGCAGCTAAAAGTGGTCAGATGCTAGAAATGTTTTGAAGGTAGAATGAGAAGAATTTGCTGACAGGTTGGGTGCAAGAAAAAAGTCACAGGTTACTCCAAGGTTCTTGTGTGGAGTAACTGGAAGCAGGGATTTTGCATTTATGAGCCAGGGAAGGCAGTGGAGAGGAGGTTGGGTTTGGCTGTGTTAACTTGGAGATACTAGAAGACATACAAGTAGTAACTATTAAATTAACTCTTAGCCAAAACTGGTTTGGCTCAGTGGTAGAGCGTCAGTCTGCGGACTGAAAGGTCCCAGGTTCGATTCCGGTCAAGGGCATGTACATTGGTTTCGGGCACATCCCTGGTAGGGGGTGTGCAGGAGGCAGCTGGTCGATGTTTCTCTCTCATCGACGTTTCTGGCTCTCTATCTCTTTCCCTTCCTCACTGTAAAAAAATCAATAAAACATTTTAAAAAATAAAAATAAATCAACTCTTAAAATAATAAGAGAATATAAATGGAATGATACTCTTTAGACCTGCTTTCAAGAATCCTCTTAATTTCCATGAATCTCAATTTCCTCACATGCAAAGTGGATTTAATCACCATTTCATGTTATGAAGATAAAAATAGATTTTTGTAAAGTCACCCAATTATCTTAGCGTCCATTAACGCAGCTTAAGATAAACTAAGTGTTCCTTCTCTTAAAAACAGGTTAAGTCCTAACCGGTTTAGCTCAGTGGATAGAGCGTGAGTCTGCGGACTGAAAGGTCCCAGGTTCGATTTCGGTCAAGGGTATGTATCTTGGATGCGGGCACATCCCCAGTGGGAGGTGTGCAGGAGGCAACTGATGGATGTTTCTTTCTATCCCTCTCCCTTCCTCTCTGTAAAAAAAAACAGTAAAATATATTTTTAAAGAAAACACTTTTTTAAAAAACCAGGTTAAACGTACTTGTAACAAAGACAAAACTTTACTATGCCTAATCAAAGTGAAAGCTCTTAACCGGGGTCTGCAAAAGGCCGCTTGGCAACAGGCGCGGGTTTGACGAAGGGAAATACGCAGGAAACAACTGGGGACGTAGTAACTGACAGGCGGCCCTAGCGACCACACTTCCCAGCAGCCCTCGCGCAGCCAGACGCCTCCGCGGATTGGACGCCTCCTCGAGGGGCGTGTCAGGGGAGGGGTGGGCGCGAGGAACTGTGGGTAGGAGACGGCAGTCGACGGAGGCGCCATTTTGTGGAGCGGCGGTACCCGGTTGGAGGTTCTGAGGCACGAAACCGCTCCGTGGGCCCTTTGGGTCCTTCCTGGAGGTGAGTGCGGCGGCCGGGCGTGGCGGCCGGCGGGCCTCGCTGTCGGAGTCTCCCCGGCCGACGCGCTCGGGCCGCGGCCGGCTTCTCCGGCCGGACCTCTCCGCGGACCAAACTGCCCGAGGCGCTGGAGGCCGCGCAGCTCGGCGCCGCCTGCGCTGTCAGACTTCCGAGGCCGCCTCCCGCCCCGCCCAGGCCGGCTGCCTCCGGGCTCGGAGGGCCCTGCCGGGAGCGGAGCCGCCGCGGCCCCTCGGGGACCTCCCGCCGGCCCGGCCGCGGCCGCACCCCCTCCGCCTCTCCGGGGGCCTCGGGGGCGGCTGCTCCGCGGGCGGGGACGGCAGGGGCGGGTGCGGGGAGCGAGGGGGAGCCGGGCGCCCGGGTCGGCCGCGCAGGCGCCGGCGCCGCCACCTCGGCCGCGACGCCCGGGAGGTGGTCCGGGCCCGGCCCGCGGCCTGGGCCTCCCGCACGGCTCTCCGCTCCCCACGCCGCCGGGGCTCGTTGGGGGCCGGCTCGGAGCCGGGGCCCGGCCTCGCGGCGCCGGCGCGTCCCAGCCGTGGGTCGGCGGCCCGGGCCGCGGGCTTCCGGTTGCTCGGGAAGAAAGCCGCGTCCCCGTGGCCTCCGGCCGGGCCGAAGTAGCTGTGGGGCGGCCGCTGTGTTGTAAGGGGAGTAGATTTCCAGCAGCTCCGCATCCCGGCTCCCAAGAGGCTTTCGATTTCCCACCCGAGCCGCGTGGGCCTCCCGCCGCTCCGCGGTCAAGGCCCCAGGACTGCGGTGATGGTCGGCCCCGGCCATTGGCGCTGCGGCCCTCTCCCTCCTGTTTGCGGTGTAACCCGAAGCGGCGCGGGAGGCCTCCCGCACCCTTTGTGGCTCTGTTCCGGCAGGGGCTCCTCCGTTTGGAAGTAGGCTCCCTCCTCGTTAGTAAAAGGGCGTGATTTGGATGCTGACAATTTGGTCCCCGGCTTCCCTACCCTCCTCTAAGGCTTTGACGAAATTCCAGCTTCGGTAGTGTCCCCGTCATAGAACGATTGACAGTGATTCAGATTTGCAGCAACCGATCTCTCTTTTCTTCTAGGAAAAAAAATAAAATAAATTAAAAACCCCCACAAAATTGGAACCTTTGGGAGCAGTGAGCTAGATCGTCAGTAAGACAATGGGTTCCGACAAAAGGTAAGTTACTGCTGTGCCTGCTTTAACCTCCGCATTTCAGTGGGGACTGAGCAATTGTTTAAAAATCGTTCTGTTTATCAAACATGTTGAAGTATCTGTCTGTGCCAGGCATTGCTGTGAGCGCTTCCATGATCCTTGCTCTCACAAGCATGCCGTTGAGTGAGAGAGAGAGAGTGATGTGGGACCTCCCTGGGAGAAAGGGGTGGAGGGTGATGTCAGAGAGCACAGGGAGTGGGGTCTGCAGAGGGGTCTGGGAACAGCCAGTTAAGCTTCCTGGGGAAAGTATCTAAGGAGGAGGCTGAGGGTAATACCGTGTTTCCCCGAAAATATGACATCTTCCGAAAATAAGACCTAGCGCAACTTTGGGAGAAAAATTTAATATAATACATTGTCTTATTTTCGGGGAAACAGGGTAGTAACACAGGTAAGGAAGTATGGGTGCAGTGGGTGGTGGAAGGTTCCAGGGTGGATGACAGCCGTGCAGAAGTCAGGCCTAGCCGCAGCAGTGAGCACCGGTGAGGGCCAGTTCTTGTCTCCCACATAGCAAGGTGATCCCGGTTTAGAGGCTGGGAGGTCTTGGACCATGGATTACACATAAACTGCTCAGAAATTCGTGCGGAACTGAGAGCTGTGGCTGCTCTCACTTAACCATTTGATTTAATAGCCCTTCCTTACTCAGCCACCTGCCTCCTTGGTATTGAGGCCAGTCCCAGTGAAGGAGCAAATTGATGGCCCAGAGGGACTCAGGAAGTGGTCTCGTCATGTGATGCTGTTATTTCAATTCTGTGTCAGCAGTCTGTGTTTCCAAGTGACTTACTAAACGAACATTTACCTTTTCAGGGCCTGTCGTCCCCATGCTTCCCATCCGGAAGCAGTGCTAGGCTGCTGGTTTTCATTGATTTCTTTGCATGTGAATGCCATAAATACGCCCTTACAAACGTGTCCTTTGTCTTACACAGCAGTTTTATTAACCTGGGAAACAATTTGTGAGATAACGGTGTATCTGTGGTCAAGTGGGCTGAAGCCTCTTGTTTTTAGATTTCCCAGTGCTGCCCAGTAAACAAAAATAAGTTAGATGCTACCGGAAATAAAGCTCTCTGACAGGCCTGTTATGTGACAAACAAACCCCTTCGTTTACTGCCTGCGGGGGCAGGTGTCTAACTCATGCAGGCCGTTGTGATAGTGGACACGCCAGGATGTGCTCCCCTTGGAAATGGGTGAAGTTCCAATCATTTCTCTCTCCTGCCTTTGATCGCTGAGATGGAAGTCAGAGTAATGCATAGATCCCGGCTTGGGAAAATACAGGATACATTTGGACAACCTGGCCTTTCTCAAAAATATTAAACCTAAATATTTGAGATCTCAATTTTCCGATTTAACGTGAATTCCTAAAACTTAGTTTTGTGTTTAGGAATATGGGTGTTTTCCCAGTGGTTGTCTTTGACCGGAATTTGTGTATCTTATAAACTGAGCGGTGGGAGTGTGGTCAGCCATGCTTTCTGAAGGTACACAGTGTGGTTTACTTTAGATTAAATGCAATTCTTTTCCCTGCAGAGTGAGCAGAACCGAGCGAAGTGGAAGGTACGGCTCCATCATCGACAGGGAGGACCGCGAGGAGCGGGAGCCCCGCAGGCGCAGGGACTCGGACTACAAGAGGTGCAGTGACGACCGGAGGGGTGATCGGTACGACGACTACCGAGACTACGACAGCCCCGAGGTGAGTGACCGCTGCGTACGGGCCGTCAGAGTTGGGTGCGAGCCGAAACCGGTGTGGCTCAGTGGGTTCGATTCTGGTCAAGGGCATGGACCTTGGTTGCAGGCACATCCCCAGTGGGGGTGTGCAGGAGGCAGCTGATTGATGATTCTAACTTTCTATTCCTCTTCCTCTCTGTGAGAAATGAAAAAATATATATATATGTATATATATATATATGTGTGTGTGTGTGTGTGTATATATATATATATACATATATATATATATATATATATATTTTTTTTTTTTAAGAATTAGATATGAATTGTATGCATAAAACCTCCAGGCTCCTGAAAGTCAGCATCCCAAGTGTGGACATCTCTCCTGGAGTATGACATTCAAACGCTCTGTTCTAGTCATAGGAATACTGGCCAGGGAACACTCAGAGCTCACCGTGCCCCAGCTGTGAGCTCACTGAGGTCGAGCCCCTGCCCTGTGAGGGGGGTATTCCCATTTTAAAGATGCAGCTGCGGGGTGAGACTGAGTCAGAGTGTCCCATCATCTGAGTGCAGCTTGCTTCCTAGTGCTTTCGTGTATGGCTTTGTTTCCAAGCAGTCCTGATGCTGCACATGTCCCTTTGCACTGGCTTTTTTCTGACGCCACTCTCCTCGCGCATAAACTCCGTGTGGTAACACAGAATGCGCTGGCATCTGTACAGTGAGGGGTAAACCCTGCTTCCTAACAGCACCATTGTTGACAGGGTTTCTCTGGTTTGGTCCTACTGTTTCAGAAAACACTGCAGTGACGTTGTCATGGAGGAGTAACTTCCAAGAGTGGGGGGCCTGGGTCTGAGGGCATAAACCAGTGTGGTTCTCATTGTGGTTTTGTTTATTGTAAATCAGAGAGAACGGGAAAGAAGGAACAGTGACCGATCCGAAGATGGCTACCATTCCGATGGTGACTATGGCGAGCATGACTACAGGCACGACATCAGCGATGAGCGCGAGAGCAAGACCATCATGCTGCGCGGCCTGCCCATCACCATCACGGAGAGCGACGTAAGGGGGACAGCAGTCGGTCCAGCGTTCTGGGCACAAGGAGCTTCCTCCCTTGTCTGGTGTCACTGTGTTAGCTCAGGCTGATGGCTCAGTGAGGGAAATAGGGCTGGCTTTAGGGTAACCTCTCAGCTTGGTTTATTCATTCATACAGATTCCCGGTTCCATTTCGGCTTTGGAAGGCAGTGTAGTTTTCAGACATTTCTTGCTACAGGGATCGGGACTTGTTCCTTCAGTAGCCCTTAGAAGGTAGTCATTCCTATTGAATTGATTAGTTATTTGTATCGGTAAGAACACTTCTGTCATGATCTGGCCTCCCATTTGACTTGATGGAAATTATGCTGTCATTTGACACCTCTGCGAAGCCTGTCAAACAGGAAAGCCATTCCCTGACTCCCCGTCCTCAGACTGGCCAGCTGGGCTGTGGTGTCCTGGCACTGCCTGACTCTCTTATTTCCATTCTTGTTTGTTTTCTCGGCACTGCCTGGTTCCCAGTGGCATCTGTCATTCCTCCCAGGCACCTCCACCTCCTGCCTCCCCCCTCTGTGCACATGTCCATCGTGTGCTTTTTTCTGTTCAGAGGCTACTTTCTGCAAAGCCTTTTCTGGCCCCCAGGTGGAGTGCCTTCTCTTCCAAAGCTCTATTCCTGGCATTCATGTGGCACTTAACTAAGTGGCCAGGTTTTTATGACCTCTGAACGCATAATAATCTGGCCACTCAGTGTATATCCTATATAATAAAAGGCTAATATGCAAATTGTCCACTCGACCAGTCCTACCAGCAGGCGGGCCGTCCTGCCCATGTCCCCTCCCCCAGGCCAGGCCGGCTGGCCCCCACCGATGAAGGAATTGATGCATGGGCCTCTAATACACACACACTGAGTGGCCAGATTGTTATCCGTTCAGAGATTGTAATCGGCCATTCAGTGTATGTCAGCACACACATCCTCCCCCCACGGGACCAGGTCTCTGAGACAGGCTTCCACGCTCCAAAGCAGGAAACGTCTCGAACGGTGGTGGAGGTGAAATGGGTCTGAGATTTTGAAATGATTTTGAAAGATGCAGATGCATAGCATTGTGCAGTATCATCTTGGAGTGTTCACAGTAACATTCTGACCAATGGTTATGAGTTTCAGACAAAGCTGAAGGTAAATACTGGGTTCACACAGCTTTGGTCTAAGCATTGGAGTGACGGTGTGCAGTGTGTTGGAGTTAGTGTCGGTGCTCCGGACGCTGCTGTGATGCAGAGCCACGGATCCAGTTCAGGCCCGGGTAGGTGGAGAGCTCATGTCAGCAGTGATGAGGACAGAGCTGAGCAGACGGATCGGTGGGCGAAGCCATCCGTTGTGAGAGGTCCGCAGGCGCCTCTGGGAACGTGGAGGAGTTGTTGCTTCAGGGAGAGAGGTGCCGAGCTGGTTCTTGTGGGAGAGGAGTGTTTGGTGGAGAGTTGGAGGGTGAGGGGCGGGCCTCCAGGCAGGGCTTCATATGAACAGCCCACGAACAGAAAGATGCTGGATTTAGACGAGACCCTGCATCCAGCTCGTGTCCACACAAGTTAAAGGCTTTGGGTGGGAGAGGTGGCTGGGAAGGTGCTGGAGGCTTAGGAAGCCCAGCTAAATATAAAAGTAAGTTACTTGGGGTTTTGCCTGGTTGGAGTGATGGGGGAGTATGATGGTTAGCGAGGGCAGAGCTGAGCTCAGAGCTCAGCAGTGGGCATGTGGTGGCAGGATGAAAAGTCCCACAGGAGCCAGTTCAGGAAGAACCTATTCAGCCGACTGTCCCCTGAGGCGTCTGTGAGGCCTGTGGCCCTGGAGCCCAGGGGACTGTGGCATGAGCAGAGCAGGCTCTAGCCGACACCGGGGCCACTGTGCGGTGGCAAAAGGAGACTGTCGTGTTCTAGGCTTATTTGGGGAAGTAGAAGTCTCCACCATAGAAGGCTGGTTTTCAAAGTAGGCTTTCTGAGGTGCCCGAATATTACAGAACGAGAGGCCCTGTGCATGGATTCGTGCACTCGTGGTGTCCCCCAGCCTGGCCTGTGCCCTCTCACTATCCGGGACCCCTCAGGGAATGTTGGAGGCTCGGTGCATGGCTTTGGCCCAGTCCCCGCAGGCCAGGCCGAGGGACCCCGCCAGTGCGTGCACCAGGGCTCTAGTAGGCATGTAAGACCTTTGGTTAATCTCTTCCCACCCTTCCTCCTCCCCTTTCCCTCTGAGATTCATCAGTCTGTTCCATGTTTCCATGCCTGTGCGTTGACATCTGCCCCCTGGTGGTCAGTGCACATCATAGCTACCAGTCGGACGGTTGCGTAGGCTTTTAGGTAGATGGTCTTAAAAAATTTGTTGGGATCTTTAAAACACTTTAGAGTACAGTATTAAGTCTTTTCCTGAGCTTCAGTTAGTCACTTTCATTCTTGTGGCTCTTCAGTTTGTCCTCCCACTGACAATGGAATTCTGAGAGGAACTGTCTTTGTTACTATGTTGCCACGATGTTTCTGTATCACTACTTTGAAAGGAACTGTGTGTAGTTACTGTGTTACTAAGCATGAACCTGTGTCAGTGTAGCTTCTCACTCTGAAAAGTTCATCCAGTCCATGTTCCTTGTTGGGGTGAGTGGCTGTCTGTCAGTTCACTGCTCCTGCGGACGAGGCGGGCTCCGCCGGGTTCTTGTGAGTGTTTGCCCACCTTGTTTTGTATGTCGTCGTTTAGCGTTGCCTCGTTTAATGTATATTGTTGATGTAGCAGCTTCGGAGACATGGCCAGCAGCACTGTAGGTCATGGCCGAGAAAATCTTACCTGACATGTGTGACCTGTGAGGCACATGGTGGCCTGCACTCAGGAGCAGACAGCATTCACCTCTCCTTGGAGAGGCAGTAAACAGTGACAGCTCAACACTGAGCAGACTGACAGGCCCTTGTTTGGAGTGACCCTGACACTGGCAGCGCGGCTCTGGGGCGTCAGACAGTGAGCAGGCCTGTCCACGAATGGGGGCCTGCCCGTGAGGAGGATCGACTGCGGGATCCCGCGCCTGTGCCCATGGTGGCCGCTAAGGTTCCTGTTTCGCCAGTTTGGTCCTGTTTTTCCCTGGGAGTATTGCTTCCTGGTATTAATGAAGGAACGATGCCTTTTGCAATAGGGCTTGGTGTGACATCGGTAAGAAACCTGTCAGCCAGAATTGCTGCTTCTAGGCCCACTTAACTTTTATTTTAACTTATTAGGGGCCTAATAATAGATGAGCTATGTTAGTTTTCATCATTAAAGTAAGCGTAAGAAAATTCTTAAATTCTTAAGGTGTGCAGAAATATTTAACTTGAGAGGAGTTTCTGGGTTTTGGCCATTGATTCTGATTCTCTAGTGTAAAGGGCCAGGAGATGAGGCTAGGGGGGAGGCGTGGTGGATAGGATACAGGAGCAAGACTGTCCTAAGGTAAAGAACGGGCCTGAGGGAGATCCCAGGCAGCACGGAGCTTTAAGGCACAGGGACCCACGTTCCTGGAGAGTCTGCCCTGTTTAGAATAATTGCATTCGGTGATGAAAGTTCAGGACTTGGCTAATTAAGTAGGTGACGCAGCCCCCCGTCCTTGAACTCTTTGGTGCGGAACAGTTTGTGGCTGAAGCTTTAACTGTAAATGTGTGAAACCCTGTGCAGATTCGGGAAATGATGGAGTCCTTCGAAGGCCCTCAGCCTGCGGATGTGAGGCTCATGAAAAGGAAAACAGGTGAGAGCTGAGTTCCGCTGTCTGGTCCTCTTCCCCGTCCCCCTGTCCCCAAGACCCTCCTGGTCCCCAGCCTTCGAGCACATGAACTCAGAATGACAGGTTTGCCATGGCTAAGGAATGTGACTCTTTGCAAACGATGTTATAGAGCATCTGAGGACTTTGTAAAACTTTGCTTTTAGGGGCTTTCTTCCCTCCGGTAAGTAGTGACGTGTAACTCCTCGTTCGTAGTCGGTTGCATGGTTACCTGGAAGCGTGGAATCAGATGGAGTGGCTTTAGCTCAGGCGGCTTGGTTCCTTGCCATGGCAAAGTATCGAGAAGATCCCCAAGTCACGTCACAGTTAGAAACTGCTTCCCCATTGCTCTGTCCCAGGTGTTGAAGCAGTGGGAGAGAGATTCGCCTGTTATAAAGGAACTGACTAACACAAGTATCCCGTCTATATCTGAATGCTGTCTCTAGGTGTAAGCCGTGGTTTCGCCTTCGTGGAGTTTTATCACTTGCAAGATGCTACCAGCTGGATGGAAGCCAATCAGGTTGCTTCACTCACCAAGTCTAGATATTCATGAAAATGGAACAAGTCTGTGCAATTTTTTAAAAGGTTGAAGGAGTGGTTTGTTCCAAAGGAGTGACTTTACAAAAAGAAAAGCTTTGTATATGTTAAAATTGATTCCCCTAGAATAAAGAGAGGCCTGTGGAACGCACTGCAGACTTTGCTCTGCCCTTAGCTGTATCTGCCTGAGCACCTGTCTGTTTACCAAACACTTCAGGTCCCTTCCTGCCTAGTATGGCTCATTGAGAGTCCTCTCAATCTCACTCTCTCTGACAATGGAAAGAATGTAACAAGTCTGCTGCAGGCATTTTACTAGTGACTCCCTCTTTCTCCTGGACCTTTACTGCTCAGTCTTCAAGGGCTGGCTAAGGGCCTGGTGGAATGTGTGGACAATGAGGCTGAGGAGCGTAGCCTGGGAGCTGGTGCCCTGCTGTCTGATCCAGTTAGAGTGGCATTAACATCCTAATCTCCCTGGGAATGCCTGGGATGTCGGTCCAGAGCAAACCATTGCTGGTTCTTGGGCGTGGCACTAACTGGAGTGTCAAGATAACGTTCAGTGCTTGGCACAGACGTGACATTTTTCCAGAACTCCACAGCTCAGTATTGAATGCCTTACCAAGTGCGTTCTGGGCGCTTTCTCAGCGCCTGCTGCCTTTCTGCAGCATTTTATGGCTTGTCACCCATAAATAAGAGCTCTCTTCTTTGATTATTAATATGTTGCCGTTATAACAAGACTCACGAAGTTTGATTGATTGGTTAGATTTTTAAGCCTCGTTTTCTTAACCCAGCGGCGACCCCTGACCTTAGGAAAGTAGAGCTTCGCGCTTCTTACGGGGACGCCCTGCTGGAGCCTCAGAGGCGCACCGCTCCCGTGAGTCTGCCCCCGGGCGCGGCAGCGTCACCAACGCCATGGCTGTGTCAGGACGCGCCTGGGAGTTTAAAACTCCCGCTAGACAAAAAGCCTGGAAGACACTCTAAGATCCCCCGATTTTAATGTATACAAAGCTATTTTATGTGTAATACTTTATTACAGTTCAAACTCACTCCAGAAACAAGAGGCCGATAGGATTAGGGACTCAGTGGCAGCTCGGAGTCTCCCCAGCGCACCTCCTAGTGGGGTGGCCGTTGCCATCTCTCCGGCTTCTTTATTGTTGCTTCTGTGCCACAAGGAGGGGTGGCCCCTCGGCGCCTCCTCTCGGCCGGACGTGCCGTCCTGCCTTTAGATCTGGCAGAGACCACTTGCACAGCATGTCTTAATCCTTCAGGATTTGCAAGAATCAGATTGCTCAACAGTATGTATGTTCAGAGGGTTAGACTCCTTTTAAAACTCTGGATACCTAACCTCCTGCTTAAATCTGTTCTGATAGTATCAGAACACCCCACTCACCCATCCCTCTCCCCCAAAAAGAGGGGGAAAGGCGCACCTGTTAAAAGAAGACTCTCTGGGGGCAGGTGCTGGGCGTGCACTTGGCTAGCCCGACTCAGCTTGGAGTCTTGAGCTTGTCAAATCCAGTCCCTCTGAGTCACGTGGTTGACGTGCAGGATGAGGTGGCATACGAGCATTTGCGAGTCTTCCCTGCCCCCTGAAGAAACTTCATTGGCCTCCTGGTCACTCATCTCGAAGAGAGTGCCATCTGTTTCAGTGAAAAGCACATCTGTCACCTGGGACAGGACAGGCTGCAGCTGCAGAAAGAAGCCTCGTTTAGCTGATTTGAGACTTGATGGCATTCAGAATAGTCCCTCCTGAGAAAGCTGTGGCCAGACTCCCTTTCAAAACGCGTTTCCCTCCCTGCAGCTCTTCCTGAGCGGGAGCTGGGGAGGGAAATGTGAAGGCGCTCAGTTGTAAGGATGGGGATGGGCCAGGCGAAGCGGAGCCCGAGGACTCGTGCTGAGGGCCTCCGCAGGAGACAGCCTCAGAACTGGGAGAGTTGTGGTTTCTGCTTTTTGGACTAGCCTGTCACCTCGGGCAGCCTGTCACTGCCGAAGGTTAGGACTCTGTCTCTGCCGGAGACACGCCTGGTACATGTCAGCGTTTAGCGTGGCAGCGTCCTCAGCACTCCCTGGCTCGGTGACCTTTACTTCGCATCCCATTCTCTTGCTGCCTGTCTGAAGGATTGGATGGGCAGAGTATAGGTGGCGGTGGTTGGTCCTCCCCGTATGTTGTCCATTAATTCCAGAGCACTGATTTTTCCGAAGTGTGCTCTGCCCTGGGAAAATGGACACGCGCTTCCCACAATGGGAATAACTAATTCCTTCTTTTTTTACAGAAAAAGCTGGTGATTCAAGGAAAGCACATTGCAATGCATTACAGCAACCCCAGGCCCAAGTTTGAAGATTGGCTTTGTAACAAGGTAAGGCTGTTTCTCCCACGTGACCCGGCTCCTTGGGGCTTTCAGTTTGTGTGTGTGTGTGTGTGTGTGTGTGTGTGTGTGTGGCCGTCCCTCTTAACAAGGAAACTGAAGTGCCGGTCACCAGTGCCCATCATGGGGTGATTTTTCTCTGGGTCCCCCTGTTAGAGGACAGGATCCCTAGAGCACCAGAGTGTTTTTATTTATTGAGATCCAGGCTCTAAGCCCAGTGCTTTATTAAGGTTTTAGATGTGTTTCACCACAGTTTCTTCAGTTCCTGAGCTCTCAACTTCGGGCAGTCTGTCAATTACATGAACAGAGTTCCAGGGACCCAGCTTAGGGCTCAGGCTGTGAGAGTCCTGCGGGGCCCAGTGCACCGCTTTGAATTTGGATGTTGCATCGACATTTTGAGAGGCTCGACTTTGTTCTGGCTGCATCCCATGTCCACTCCTCTGCTGGCCTTCTCTGTGGACATGGAGTGGCCCATGTTGGGCGCTTTGATACCAGGGACACCTTGGCCAGTGACTTCCCACAGGTTTCTCAGTAAACTGAGACTTGCCTCCAGCTTGATAGAACGCAGTTGATTGCAAAGACACCACGATGTGTTTCTTGGAGGAGTTCCCTAGCAAAGCGTCCTCGGTGTAGGTTCCTGCTCTTTGTCCTGGTCCTCGGTATCACTCGCTGCTGTTTACCTTGCTGACTGGGACGAGCCCATGGCCCTGCCGACCTGACCCACGTGCTTCTTAGTGAGCCTGGCGATTAAGGTGAACCTTTTTTTTTTCCAGTGCTGCCTTAACAATTTCAGGAAAAGACTAAAATGCTTCCGATGTGGAGCGGACAAGTTTGGTAAGCCCGGGTTTGGCTGTTCGGAATGTGCAGTAAGGCCTGACTACTGGGTTGTAGTGAACTTGAGGGAACGTGCAGGTTTAGGACATTAAACGAGTAGCTTGGGTATTTTCCTGAAACCTTGGCCGTAGGTTCGGTAGGTGCTGCCGGTGATGGCGGGCCAGAGGGCCTCACTTCCCCGGGAGTCTGCGTGCCGGGTGCATTCTCATCTGCCCCCTTTAGCCCCAGTGCCCAGTCTGTGCGTTTCACACTGACCGTGCCAAAGGGCGTGAGGGTTATTATAGCCACGAACATTAAGCCTTTGGGGCGTGAATATATTCCATTACTGAAAACGCACTGGTGAGCTGTCCGCTTGTGTCCCAGTGCTGATCTCCCTCCTTCTCCTGCAGACTCGGAGCAGGAAGTGCCCTCTGGAACCACCGAGTCGGTTCAGTCTGTGGACTACTACTGTGACAGTAAGTCAGTCTCCCTGCTGGTCTCCGTGCCCGAGCGTGGCTTCCCTGTTCTCCGGCCCTTCTGCTGCGGGCTGCCTTGTAAAGGTTGGATTTTAGAATCTCCTCCGTGTCAGAGTGACAGGCATTGGGAACATCCCCAAACAGACGTGTGTCTGTACTTGAACCTGCCTGAAAAGCGCTGGCGGTGGAACACATTTATATGTCATGTGTCTTACATGTCGTGTCTCCTTCGCCCAGCAATCATCCTCCGGAACATCGCCCCGCACACGGTGGTGGACTCCATCATGACCGCGCTGTCCCCCTACGCGTCCTTGGCCGTCAACAACATCCGCCTCATCAAAGACAGGCAGACGCAGCAGAACCGGGGCTTCGCGTTTGTGCAGCTGTCTTCCGCCATGGTGAGGGCTCCGCCAAGCCAGCGGGCTCGTGCCGGGCGACCCTGGATTGTGAGCCCAAAGTTCAAGGCCACCTGGCGACACTGTCGCAGCGCTGAGTCACAGCGATCGCTGGAGGAGGGCCTGTGGCGCGGGGGGCTGACGAGAGCCGCAGTGAGTCCTCCAGGCTCGGCTGTGGGTCCGCGTTCCCTCTAACAGCGCGCGCCTCCTTGTCTGGCGGCGAGGGAGGCGGGTCCTCTAAGGAGTCCCAGCCGCAGGCGGTTTGAGAGCAAACTCTTCCCAGCGGCCGTGTAGGTGGGCTTTCCAGTCACATGACAGCGCGCTTTCCTCCCTCCCCTCAGGACGCCTCCCAGCTGCTGCAGGTCCTGCAGAGTCTCCACCCGCCTTTGAAGATCGACGGCAAGACTATTGGGGTTGACTTTGCAAAAAGTGCCAGAAAGTGAGTGGCTTCACCATCCTTGTTTCAAACTGCTGTCCGCGCACGCTTGTCCGGGTGCTGTGCTGACGGTCCCCTCGGCCGGGTCTCCACACCGGCCCCTCCCTCCCAGTCCCCCAGGCCGAGAGGGGGCACTTGTCTCCTCTCAGAGCTCTGTGCCTTCTGGCCTCGGGCACCAGTTGCCAGAAAATTGAGAGCAGGACACGGGCGGGCCGGGCAGTGGGTGAGTGGCTGTGCAGGCTGCTTCCTCCCGGGATAGCAGCCATGGCTTCGTGTGGTGGGCATGTGGGTTTCCCGTGTCTGGTGTCTGCTCACCTAGCAGACCCTCATTGGATGGCAGGTTACAAAGTAGAACGGGGACACTTGCCCACTGAGGACTTGGCCCTGAGACCCCTCCCCCTTCTGCACGGTGGCCTTGCTGGCATTGAGGCTTCCCACCGAGGCTGGAGGGAATCCCTGTGCCCTGGCCTCAGCCTGGCAGGCTAGAGCTTCCCAAGGGGACCACATGGCTGGGTCGTTGTGTTTTAGAGACCTGGTCCTCCCCGATGGCAACCGGGTCAGCGCCTTCTCCGTGGCCAGCACAGCCATCGCTGCCGCCCAGTGGTCGTCCACCCAGGTACGGTGACCCCTCCCCGGCCTCACCTTAGAACCCTTCCTCGTCTCTGCCTGGGTCCACTCAGGGCCTGTTTGTGATCCCCAGTCTCAGAGCGGCGAAGGAGGCAGCGTCGACTACAGCTACCTGCAGCCCGGCCAGGACGGCTACGCGCAGTACACCCAGGTAGGTGGTGGCTGTGAGCGATCCCACTTCTGGTTCCTGAGGTTCTGGGAACAGCAGCCTTAACGGTGGACTTCTCTTCAGTACTCGCAGGACTACCAACAGTTCTATCAGCAACAAGCTGGAGGGTTGGAATCTGATGCGGCATCTGCATCAGGTAGAAACTTCGTCTCCCTTCTCTCTCTGTTTGAGGAGAGGCACCCGCGTTCCAGCGACACCCAAAGCTCCGAGTCCATTCCCGCAGGCCTGGGGGCACGTTCAGGGCTGTAGAGGGGCTGGGAAGATGAGGGTGCTCGTGGTCACCAAGACCTGGTCACAGCCTCTTGGAGGGCGTGGCGCGATCAGGGTTCGTTCTTGGCCTCCCCTCTGTCCTGCTCTGTGTGCCCGCGGGGTCAGGGACAGAGTGACCGGAGCCTGGTGCCCACACATCAGCCAGGATCACTGCTGGAAGCCTTCGCTTACGTTCTGTTCCGGAATCAGAAAAGCCTCGGAGCTCAATCTCTTCTCCACTCCGGAGCAGAGATGCTCTCTCCTCTCTCTGTAGCCACCACAGCAGGCTGGCTGCGGTGGGTCTCACTGCAGCAGGGTGTGAGGTGGTGAGCCACAGGTCAGGGCTTGTGTGGAGCCCTTTATGAGACCTGACGCTCAGACAGGAGGGCTGGGCATGGCAGTGAAGGCTCTCGGCTCCGGGTGCCATGCTGGCTCTCCCTAACCTGGTGCTTCTGTCACAGGCCCAGCCGTGACCACCACCTCGGCGGCCGTGGTGTCCCAGAGCCCGCAGCTGTACAATCAGACCTCGAATCCACCCAGCTCTCCGGTAAGCTGGCTCAGACACAGCTAGCGCCTGTTGGGGAGACTGTTTTTGCTTTCATGCTGCAAACCCCAGCCTTACTTCCGTCTGCCTGATGGCGTTAGATAGTAAAATTGTGGGGGGGGGGGGGGGCCTTCCTCCTGGTGGTGGTGACTGCATCCTAGGAGACTCTACAGGTGAATTCATCGAAGCTGCTGTTCTTTGCAGACTGAGGAGGCACAGCCGAGCACCAGTGCCAGTACCCAGGCCCCTGCCGCCTCCCCGACTGGAGTAGTTCCCGGTACCAAATATGGTGAGCCACCGGGCTGTGGGCAGTTAGAAGGTCCTGGTTGTTCCCCTTTGTGGGTGTCGGGGGACGTGGGAGTGTCGGGGGACGTGGGGAAGGCCGTATGGCTGAGCGCAGTGGGCTCCCTGCTGACTAGCTGCTGGCTTGCCTTTGCAGCGGTGCCGGACACGTCCACCTACCAGTACGATGAGTCTTCGGGCTATTACTACGACCCCACCACAGGCCTGTACTACGACCCCAACTCACAGGTAACTGCTCTCCTCGCTCCCACTGGGCACAGCCAGAGCCCTTAGGCCCTGGGGGAGGCGTGAGGTGGAGAGTCCCTGCACAGGAGCAGGTGAACGGTTCGTTTTAACCTCCACAGCATCGAGCCCTGGCCTGTGGGGCCATTGGTTGGAGTGTCGTCCTGTACACCAAAGGTGGCAGGTTCAGTCCCAGGTCGGGCCACTTGCAAGAAGCGGGCCATCACTGTAAGAGAGAAACATCGCTCCATTGCCTCCCGCCCCGACTGGAAATGGAACCCACTGCCTTGGCCTTTGGGGATCATGCTCTAACCCCTGAGCCACCTGGCCAGGGCTCACGGGTTTAAGTTTTTTGTTTATAGGTTAGAAAACTGTTTTGAGGTATAATATACACACACAAAAATGCACAAGACTGAAGTGTGCCGTTCTGGATGTTCACACTCATACACTGACCAGCACTGAGAGGAGAGAACAGCCCTAACACGTGGCAAGATGCCCTGCCCCTGGCGGTCAGGACTCCCCCTTCTCTACCTACTGTTCTGGCTTCTTACCATGGATTCTTTGGTCTAGTAACGTTTATAGGTGGCTCTTGACCGTTCTGTAAAGATCCAGCTAGAGCCCCAGAGTGGATAGAGCATCATCTTATAGACTGTAGGTCCCAGGTTCGATTCCGGTCAAGGGCACATGCCCTGGTTGCGGGATCAATCCCCAATGGGGGTGTGCAGGAGGCAGCTGATAGTGATTCTCATCATTGATATTTCTGTCTCCCTCTCTCCTCTCTGAGATCAATAAAAAATATTTTTTAAAAAGACCAGATAGAAGTTTTTAATTGTGTTTTTTCCATATCTTTTTATTTTTTTATTTTATTTATTTTTTTACAGAGAGGAAGAGAGAGGGATAGAGAGTTAGAAACATCGATGAGAGAATCATCCGATCAGCTGCCTCTTGCACACCCCCTACTGGGGATGTGCCGCAACCAACATACATGCCCTTGACCGGAATCGAACCCGGGACCTTTCAGTCTGCAGGCCGACGCTCTATCCACTGAGCCAAACCAGCTTCGGCCATATCTTCTTTTCCGTCTTGTTCAAGGACGTTTCATCCCATGGGAGCCTGTGCCCGTTAGGCAGCTGCTCCCTGGTCCCTCGCCCCGGTAACTCTGCTCCTGCCTCTGGGTTTGCCTGGTCTCCACGTTTCAGACAAATGGAACCAGATGTGACCTTTGTGTCCAGCTGCTTTTCTTAGCATCTCTGTATTCTCAAGGGGAGAAGTTAGCAGGTTTGCGGAGTGGTGTTTTATTTTGGGTGTGTATGTGATATTAAAGAGGAAAAGCGGCTTTAACACTCCATAAATAAAACTGTCATGATCAGGAGCTGGAGCTAGAGAATACAAGAGAAGTGCTTTTAACAGGAACTTGCATGCAGTGAGGTGTGAGGCTGAGGGCGCTGAGCAGGCCGAGTCTGCGGACTGCCTCCGCCTCTCCCTGAACTCTGACCCTTCCTGGGCCGCTCTCCTTGCTGGACACAAAGTGTGGCCTATGTCTGACCCTCCCCACTCCCCAGCGAGAGACAGCAGACTGGCTCTGGGTCCCCGTGAGCAGGTAGAGTGACGGACGAGGGAACAAAGAGGAGAGAGAGGTGCCACCTCTGCTGGGCAACTCGTCCCTCCCACGGTCCAGATCGGTTCCTTCACCCCCTCTGCCTCCCGGGCACCGAGCTGTGTCTGCAGCCTGGGCTTGGTGGCCTCGGTCCCAGTGCTCACGTTTGAACCGTGCTAGCTGGTCCATCGTCCTCACCCGCCACAGCACACCGCTCCCCTCATTTATGTTTTTTAAAAATAACTTTGCTGAGTCTTGACAAATGGTTTAAGTTGGCTGTCTGACGGCAGAGCGTCTGCGTCACTGTGTCTGTTTCCAGTACTACTACAACTCGCTGACCCAGCAGTACCTGTACTGGGACGGCGAGAAGGAGACCTACGTGCCGGCCGCCGAGGCCAGCGCGCACCAGCAGGCGGGCCTGCCTCCTGCCAAGGAGGGGAAGGAGAAGAAGGAGAAGCCCAAGAGCAAGACTGCCCAGCAGGTGAGGCGCCGCCGGCGGCTCCCCGCACCGGGCGACGTGTCCGCTTCATTTAGATTTTTTTTTTCCTTAGTTTTACTTGTTGACTTTTAGAGAGAGGAGGAGGGCATCCATTTGTTGCTCTGCCTATTTGCACATGCATTGGTTCTCCTGTATGTGCCCTGACCGGGGATCAAACCTGCAACCTTGCGTATGGGGACGGCGCTCTGACAGCTTAGCTGCCCGGCTGGGCGAGGGCTTTGCAATGTTTAGCGGTGCCAGCCCTGTCTGTCCGTTTCCCTGGGCACGGGACATCTGGGGAGGTTTGCAGTCAGAAGCAGAGCACGCGGCTGAGATAGGACCCTGACACAGCGTCCGAGTGTCTCTGCCTGAATGTCTGCTGGTCTGGACAGATCGCCAAAGACATGGAGCGCTGGGCGAAGAGCCTGAACAAGCAGAAGGAGAACTTCAAGAACAGCTTCCAGCCCGTCAGCTCCTCGCGGGAAGAGGAGAGGCGGGAGAGCGCCGCGGCCGACGCGGGCTTCGCGCTCTTCGAGAAGAAGGTGAGGGCGGCGGGGAAGGCGGGCCGCGGGGAGGCGCTGGGCGCCCGGGGACACGAGGCTAATGACCGCTGCGTCCCCCAGGGAGCCTTGGCCGAGAGGCAGCAGCTCATCCCCGAACTGGTGCGGAACGGAGACGAGGAGAACCCCTTGAAGGTGAGGCGTTCGCAGACGGCTTCTGTGTCAGTGTCTGTCTCTCCGCAGCGCCGTCTCCCGGGCCTGGGACCCCTGCTTCACAGGACGTGGGAGGTGGCTGCTGGGTGGGTGGGTGGGTGGGTGGGTGGGTGGGTGGGTGGTGGCTCCTGCACAGACTGGTGCTTGTGGTTGGTATTCCCTGAGGAGCAGGCCTGATGGGACAGGAAGGGGGCCTGAGTGTCTAAGCTCAGCTCGCATTTTATTGCGTTTGTAAAGAGCTGTGGGTGTGGGGAGGAAGTTCAGAAGAAACGTGTGTGACCTTGGAGAGAGTGAACTTCACTCGGGGATATTTCCCCATTGATTTCCTGTACCATCATGGTCTGAAGACAGCCACCTGGGAACTGTTCTCGGGCCACATGGTCTGTGCCAGCAAGGCTGTCCCCAGCACGGGGCCCTGGCTGCTTCCTGCAGTGGGGTGTGGGGTGGGTGACCTAAGGAGCTGCGCAGAGCCGAGGCTGTGTGGTACTGCCTGCAGGTGCTAGCTGTACCTGCCATTGTCCATGGCAATGACCCTCCTCTCGTCCCCAGAGGGGCCTGGTGGCTGCGTACAGCGGGGACAGTGACAACGAAGAGGAGCTGGTGGAGAGGCTGGAGAGTGAGGAGGAGAAGCTGGCCGACTGGAAGAAGATGGCCTGCCTGCTCTGCCGGCGCCAGTTCCCGAACAAGGACGCGCTGGTCCGGCACCAGCAGCTCTCCGACTTGCACAAGGTACCGCTTCCCCCAGCTCCGGGGCAGGAGTCCTGGCTGTGAAAGCGCAGTGGGTGCCCATAATGTGTGATGCCTTTTTACATTTTTTTCTTTATCGTGAAGTGGGGAGAAAGAGAAACATCAGTGATGAGAATCATTGATCGGCTGCCTTCTGCACAGCCATACTGGGGATCGAGCCCACAACTTGGGTACGAGCCTTTGAGCAGACTCGAACCAGGGACCCTTCAGTCTGCAGGCTGATGCTCGATCCACTGAGCCACACCAGCCCGGGCTGTGATTGCCTTTTAGAGGCTGTTCCTGGTCACCGGCGACTGCAGGCACCGCGGGGCCCTTCCGGACCTCTGCACCGAAGCGAGTTGTGAGCTCGCTGGCAGGGGTCTCGCCTTCAGTTCGTACCAATCAGCACCTGAAGCGCAGTGACGGGGTCCGGGCCTGGAGTGCGGGGAGGAGCACGGGCCCGGGCACGCCGCTCTGATTTTCTGCCGGCTCGAGCTGAGAACACGGCAGACGGGGGTGACGGTAGATGTTTCATATGAGGATGGTCTGTGATCTTAACTGTCACTTCTTCCTTAGCAAAACATGGACATCTATCGGCGGTCCAGACTGAGTGAGCAGGAGCTGGAGGCCTTGGAGCTGCGGGAGAGAGAGGTGAGCGGCGTGGGCCCTGGAGAAGGGCTGGGGTCTCCGCCTTCAGCTCTCATTGGTGCACTTGGTTCAGGCCCCAGGGGAAAGGCAGGGCGACCACTGGGCTCATGTAGACGGGACCCAGGCCGCACGTGCCCTCGAGCCTTTATGGTCCCTTCAGGAGGGGCACTGCTCTCGCGTCCTGAATGCCAAGTACTTGCAGGGAAGGCCCTGGGTGTGAGGAAGGAGCAGGAGGCTCCTGGCCCGGCCCGGCGCCTTCCTGGGCCACGCTGAGGCTTCACATTCGGCCCTGGAGGCAGCGGGCCTAAGTGACGGCAGGGGAGGTGGAGGAAGCGGAGGCTGGGCTCAGGCGGGCAGGAGAAGCCTGTGCAGCCAGCCATGGGCAGGGAGAATGGAAGCCTGTAGATTAGAAATGAACCCGAGGGCCCTGGCTGATTGTGGATAGAGCATTGGCCTACGCACTGAAGGGTCCCAAGTTCCATTCCAGTCAAGTCACAGGCCTGGGTTTCAAGCTCAATCCCCAGTAGGGGGCGTGCAGGAGGCAGCCTATCAATGATTCTCATCATTGATGTTTCCATCTCTCTCTTCCTCTCCGAAATCAATAAAAATATATTTTAAAAGAAATAAAAAAATGAACCAGTAGGCCAATTACTTGAAATTCCTCCATAAGTAATTGGGAGGTTCTGTGGTGAGGGGGCTTGTTCTCTATAGTGTTCCTGTTTTCCCACTGTTCATGGCACTGGCTCCCCGGGGACGGCGGCGGGCTCTGGCGGGGTGGCCTGTCCCAGTGCCGAGGGGAGAGCACAGCTCTCTCTTCCTCCCCAGGACCGTGCGGGCTGAGAGACGTAGGGGCAATAAGCCTGCTCGTTGGGACATAGCTCTCCACAGGCCCAGCGCTGTTTCTCAGGCCGCTGGGAGGCCCTGGAGTGGCCGACAGGCTGAGGCTGGAGTCCCGAGCTGTGTTTGTTCCTACGCAGATGAAGTACCGGGACCGCGCCGCCGAGAGACGGGAGAAGTACGGCATCCCCGAGCCGCCAGAGCCCAAGCGCAAGAAGCAGCTGGACGCGGGCACTGTGTATGTGTGGTGAGCGCGTCCCGCCTCCCCGCGGGGCTCCCGCCCTAAGTAACTCTGTGTTTGCCGCTGGCAGGAACTACGAGCAGCCCACCAAGGACGGCATCGACCACAGCAACATTGGCAACAAGATGCTGCAGGCCATGGGCTGGCGGGAAGGCTCGGGCCTGGGAAGGAAGTGTCAAGGCATCACAGCCCCCATCGAGGTGAGGGGGCGGGGCTCCGGGGCCGGGCCGGACAGTACCTGGCACAAACCAGCGGTCTCCCCACGAGGGGTCCTGCCCCCCGCCTCCTGACCTGGCCTCTGCCAAGACGTTCCTGGGTCTTGGTGCCATAGGGTAGACCTGTCTTCTCCTGAGGACTGTATGCTCTCTGTCCTCGGTTATAACAAACGGGTAGCCGCCGCTGGGCTATTGGAAGGTATTGTGCTTTCATTTCTCTCTAGGTGGCTGTGGTTAGGTTTAAGGCAGATTACATGCAGTAGGGTTTTTGTCCACGAGAAGAAATCCTTTAGTTGGTCAGAGTTGAGATTGAGATTCAATCCCAGATCAGATCGGAGCACCCCCCCACTGGCCTTCCAGACAAGACCCCGCAGTCACCTCCCCCTGCCCCCCTGCACCACCGCTGAGGTCACACCTTCCAGGCCGGTCTGCAGGGAGCTGTGCTGGCGCCAGACCGCCCTGCCGTGGTCTGAGCCCGTAATTACCGGCCTGCCCGTCTTCGGTCGAGCTTGAGGCCAGTTGTCGGTGCGATGCTTGCTCAGCAGGCACTGGGCGCGGGGGTGGGGCGGGGCGGGGCGGCTCAGTCTGCCTGTCGCCTGGGCCCTTCTGTTCCCAGTCCCTGTACCTGCTCCGGTCTCCAGTGCAGAAGCCCGGTCTCTGGCGCCGGGCGGGTGTTCCTGCCGGGCAGGGAGTGGGCTGGATGAGGGCGTGGAGCAGCCCATCGCCTGCCAGCCGCTGACCGCAGTTTTCGGTCCCCAGGCTCAAGTCCGGCTAAAAGGCGCTGGCCTCGGAGCCAAGGGCAGTGCGTACGGACTGTCGGGTACGGACTCCTACAAGGATGCTGTCCGCAAGGCCATGTTCGCCCGGTTCACGGAGATGGAGTGAGGCTCCGGAGGAGAGCGCGGAGTTCCACGGCACGGCGCCGCCGCCCATCCCTCCTGTCGCCAGGGCACGCCTGGCTGTCCCCCCGGAGCCTCCGGTGTGGGGGATGGCCTTCCTCGTTCCTGCCGGAGGCCGTGAGCACGAGGGACTGTCTTTTCTACTCCGTGTACATAGTGTCCATGCGGTCTCCTGTGCAGCCTGTGCGGCCGCAGCCCGCTCCCTGGGCGTGGGACGCCCGAGGCGGTGTGGACACCAAAGCCACCGCAATGTTTGTTGTGTTTTTTTGTCTGTTTGTTTTTGGCAAAAGCCTGTGTATATTTGTATATTAAACATTTGTACAGAATTTTGGAAGATTTTCAGTCTAGTTGCCAAGTCTGGCTTCTTTACAAAAGAAATACCTTGGAAAACGAGTGGCTGTGTCTTCATTCCGGGAGGCCAGTCGGCCTGGGGATGACAGGTGCTGCTTACACCATTGTCCATGCTCTGCTCATGCTCAGATGTTTTCCTCGTTATAGTTTACACTCAATATTACTATTATTTTACTTCCTTACTTTAAGAAATACATTTTATTTTTAGAGAGGAAGGGAGAGGGAGGGGGGGAGAGGTAGAAACATCAGTGATGAGAGAATCATTGATTGGCTGCCTCCAGCATGCCCCACACTGGGGATCCATCAAGCCTGCAACCTGGGCTTGTGCCAGAAACCAGAATCGAACCTGGGACCCTTCGGTCTACAGGCCGATGCTCTATCCACTGAGCCACACCAGCCAGAACCAATATTATATTTTAAAATGATTTTGGGGGGGAGCAAGAGTAGAACATTGATAAGGGAAACATCAGTGAGTCGCCACCTGTAGACGCCTGACGGGTGAGCCTGTGACCCTAGCCCAGCCACAGCAGCCTGGCCAACGTCCAGTGTTTGTTAGTTTAGGTTGACAGCGGAGTGGCAGAGGGTCATATTATACCTGACCATGTTCTCTGGTTCAGATTTTAGTTTTAAAACTTTGTGGAAATGCCGTCAACTCAGCTCTCCACATCTGGCCTCTAGAGACCAGCAAGTGTGCCCATTTGTGCTCTCCAGACTTCAGACTTCCGGGGGGGAGGGGGTCAGCCCCGCCGGCCATGACAGGTGAAGCCTGGCCGGCCCCACCCTCTGCACGGAAACTGCTGCGGTGTGCAGGGGCCACGCAGTTCCCACATTTCCCAGCAAGACCAGAGGGGAGATGGCGATGGGGCGCCTGTGCTCCACGTGGCGAGGTAGGTGGGGTGGGGGGCTTGTTCGGACAAAAACGTGGCTTGTGGGTGGCCCCCTTTCCCCGTTTCAGGCAGGAAGAAGGGCTCAGAGGGATTGAATCCCGCTTTGCTAGGCACATGTGGAGGCACGTGCAGAAGCCCCGAGTCTGGGCTTCAGGAGCATCACAGGTGAGGGTCCAGCCAACACGGAGCCCCCGGAGCCCCCGAACCTGAGTAAGTCAGGCAGCTGTTAGACACGGACAGCCGCCCGGGAGGCTCGGCAAAGGCCCCGGGAATCAAACCGCTGCTCTGGCAGCTCCACGCCAGGGGGGGCCTCTGAACCCGCCCCGCCCCGGAGTTCAGCCCCTTTCTCGGGTCCCAGGCCCCGTGGACTCGGCCACAGCGTCTGCGTCAGCACCGCAGAGCCTGCCTGTGGACATGGGCCGTGTCTGCCCCTCGGGGAGGCCGCAGGCCCTCCTGCCTCTGCCCGCTCCTCAGCCACCTGCAGCCCACGCACAGCCACGGGACTGCGGCCTCATCGCCCCTGAACCAGCACCCCCTCCCGGGGCCGGGCCTGGCCCCGTCTCCTGTGAGACCATCTCCCGCAGATCCTGAGGGCCTGGAGCCCAAGCCCCAAGGGCCAGCCGTCCCCCAGCAGCTCCAGGTCAGCTCAGCCAGGACGGGGGGCTGTGTCCGGCCATGCCCTGCCCCGCCCGCCCTTGCAGCCCTGCGCTGACTTCACCTCAGGGAAACCCAGATCCCGAAGTGGAAGGTCGTCTGTGAACGCGGGGACCTCCAGGGGCTCCAAGCCCGGCCTGCCCTTGACTGGGACAGCTGCCGCCGCAGGCTTTGAGGGCCGTCCAGGAGCAGCTGTGTGGCCGAGCATCAAACGAGTGTAAAGCCGCGAGGAGCAGCCAGGCCTGAGCTAAGCTCCCCAGGCACGCAGGCCGGCTGGGGTCTCAAGGGCACCCGGAGCCCAGCCACCAGCCACCCTGGCTCCCGGGGGCGAGTGCCCTCAGAGGCAGGCGGGGTGTGCGTGGGGGGTGGCGTTGTGGGGGAGATCGCCCAGACGGGACCCTGGAGGAGGCGGCTGTGTCGCTAGTGGCCACCAGGTGGCAGCACTCCATCACCTATGGGGCAAGGCTGGGTGCAGGTGGGGTGGGAGAGCTCACGGGTCCGGGGGCCGGGCGTCCCAGGGTCTTTGGGATTCGGGGAAGCCGGGCTGGAACCCCGCCTGGAAGCCCTCCCCCAGGGACCCCTGGCTGGCAGGGTAGCTTTTGCTCAGCTGAGGAGCCGCAGCCAGGCCGCACTAAGTGCTTCAGTCTCACAGTCTCTCCGCAGTCCAGTCGATAAAAGGCATTCCTGCCCTCACACTCCTGCCCTCACAGGACGCCTGATGGTGACTCACAGGGACGCGCAGCCATCAGTGACCACGGGCTGAGCTGCCAGGGCCCTCAGATGGAGACGGGGTGCCACTGCACTGACCCGGCCTCCCAAAACGGGGGGTGGGGGTCGTCTCAGCAGAAGGTTCAAGCCAGGAGCAGCCAGGAGCACCGCCCCCATCCCACTTAGTCCCTGCACCACTTTCACGGGTTCATTTTTTTAATATACTTTTATTGATTTCAGAGAAGAAGGGAGCCAGAGAGAAAATCATCAGTGATGAGAGAGAATCATGGCTGCCTCCTGCACGCCCCCACTGGGGATGGAGCCTGCAACCCAGGCATGTGCCCTGACCGGGAATCCAACCTGGTTCATAGGTCAACACTCAACCACTGAGCCACACGGGCCCGGCCATCTGGTTTAAAAAGGAAACTGAGGCTCAGAGAAGAGCAGCTGCTGAGTTTTCCAGGTTGGGAAGCACTGAGCCTGGTTCTGCCCCATATGTGCCCCCCATTCCCCCCCTTCACCCCCTTCCCCCACTGGCCCGGAGCCTAGGGAGCCACGGGGTGAAGATGGGCCCCGGCTGCGAGCACAGGGGCCGGCTCCAGCTTTGGGCAGGAGGTGCTCCCGCTCTGTGCTGAGCATGGAGGCGCTCAGCCTTGGGATGCCCACCCCCACCCCAGTGCCCTGGGGAGAGAGAGACAGGCAGGGAGAGGCAGGAAAAAAGACAACTGCAGACAAAGCGGGCCCGGAGGATGCTGGGAAGCGGAGCGGAAAGGTCTGAGCTGCTGGGGCGGGAGGAGGCTGTGGGGACAAGATAAGGCAGGGTGGGGGCCGCTGGGTCTGGGGGAGTCGGATCTCTCCAGCCCCGGCTGCCGCCAGATAAGAGGGCCCACAACAGCCAAGCAGCGGCCGTGGATGCTGCACGCGGATGGGCAGCCAGGCTGCAGCCGCAGAGGGGAGGGAGGAGGAGCCAGGAGCCCCGGCCAGGACCCCTGCCCGCTCTCCTGCCCACCGAGGCCCGAGCTGAGGCACACAGGCCGGGCCCACCCCCCAAGTCTGGCCGGACAGAGCAGCTGGAGTATGGCTCATGGATGTAGCCCCTTTACCTGGGCCTGGGGGTGGGGCCGCGGCAGGGTTCGGTGCCCAGGATGCCCTGTCAAGATGTGTGGCCCCGCAGGCAAGGTTGGGCTCGATCCTGACTCGTGGGGGCACCGTCCTCCTTGGCGGGGCCGAGGGGCAGCCTGCTGCACCCCAGGCACACGCGTGCACGCACAGGCCTGCAAGTCATCCGCGCACAGGCGTGTCTCCCAGCACCGAGGCGTGTGCTGGGGTGGGACACGCAGCTGCCTGCACACCCCGGCCTCCCCCGCCCATGGGTGAGGCAACCTGCACGCTCCCCAATACCCTCCCGGGGCCACCTGCACGGCAGCCAGGTGGGCCGTGTGCACTGCAGCCCGAGGCCGGGAGGGAAGGCGGGAGGAAGGCAGGCAGCTGGAGCTGGGCTGGGAAGGAAGGGCCGAGGGGCACGGGCACACGCAGGCTCACGCACGCAGTCACTCGGGCTCCCTCCTCCCCCCGAGGCGGGTCTTGGGGTTCCACCCCCACCAGGCTCCTGGGCCCGGGCTCGGGCCGCTGCTCAGCTCCAGGCTCTGTGGGCAGGCGGGGCGGGAGGCCGAGGAGGGCGTGTGCTTCCCAGGTGGCTTGGCTCCGCTCAGAGCCTGCCCTTCCGACACCTGCAGCCTCCGCTGGGGACGGAGAAGGAGCAGCCCCGTGCAGACGGGGAAACTGAGGCTCCGAGTGGGCAGCAGCCAGCTGGCTGCCGTGTCCATCCGCAGCGCGAGGGCCCCAGGGCGGCCGCCTCTGCCCTCGCCATCTCCCCCGGTGGGGTCCTCGCCCCCCAGGCGGGCTCTGCCAGCCGCTCCGACTGGGATGGACTGGGATGGACTGGGATGGACTGGGACCTCAGCCTCCTCCCGGACGGGGCACCGCGGCCGGCCGGGCTCTCGGACCAGCCCCCTGCGGCGGCGGCCCCTCCGGCCTCACGGATGGAGCAGCAGCGCCCACCCCCACGCTCTGGTTCTCATTAATGTAAATGAAGTCTGCCGAGCGAGCAGCTCCTTAATGGAAAGCGTTCCTGGAATTTGAGCACACGTGGGGGGCGGGCACCCGAGTTAACTCCTGTGCGGCCGGGACCGCGGGCCGTGCCCACGCCGGGCGGGGGGCTGGGCACCTCCCGAGCTGTCCCTCAGGACAGCGTCCCCCACGCGGCCCCGGGGCTCAGCCTGAGGGGGCGGCCTGGGCCATGTTTGGGGAGCGCCCGGGGCTGGGGCGCCGCTGCCGGGCGGCTGTCCCTCCTGGGGCTCCGACCTGGTGGGAGGGGGCCCCGGCG